TACTCTTAATATGAAAGTCATGTATCAAGATTTTTGAACTATTGAAACTGTTATGTATTTTTAGTTTTTTATTTGTAAGTTCATAAATATATAAGGCACAACAGCCATTAATGATGTTATGTTTTAAAAAGTTCAAACTCTTCAGTAAATGAGCATTGATGACACTGGATCTATATGCATCATACAATACATTTCAATATTTTGAACCTTGTTCATAATGTGTCAATATTGCCATTGTCCCTGCCCATGCTCTTTAACCAGTCCACTACCACTCCTGAGTCATTTATACCTGCAAATTGTTGTAGTTTAATGATCTCACCAATCTTAATCCTATCCATGAGGGTCTTGGGTTTCCAATCCTACACCCATCAAGATTATCTGAATTTGGTTAGTCATGGAATCCAAAGTATTAATGCTTTAGAGTTGACTGTTGGAGAAGATGCAACCATCTGTCATCCTTTAAGCATGTCATCTGTTAGAAAGGAGTAAAAAATGTCCAAAGCTGCAATCCAATGGATCGCTCTCAAAAACTTAGTTTCTATTAATTCTTCTTTGTATCTTTCCTTTCCATTTAACATTCTTTGGTTCCTCTTTTTCAATGTTGTCCACAGGACTACAGGAGTGCAGTCATTGTTGTCAAAATATAATTTCTAATAATGCTTCCTTTTATCTTTCCCTTCCATTGAAGATTCTTTGGTTCCTCTTTTGCCAGTGTTGTGCACAAGACTGCGGTCATAGTTGTCAAAACCTTACAATTTAGTATACAACTCACAAATCAAATCATAAATCTCAAATATTCCAATTTAAATATGCTTTTCTAAAAAAAAAACTTTTGATTACTGATTTGAATCTTATGATTCAATTTTTTATATCGTATGAATAATATGATTCATGTGATCTAAATCAATTCAACTTGTCATCTCTTTTTTTCCTAATCTTTCGAGTTGCTTTTATTTTAAAATCTTTACTACACTTTTTTTGATAAATAACATAGAGTTTTTTTTTTGATAAATGATTAAAATTTTATTCAAGAAGTTCAAAAAGATATTACAATACAGCCTGCCCAAAGGAGAGGCACGAGCTGGTGCCTCTCCACAACAACAACAACGTACTACCTCAGACTAGTAATAAAAATTTACAAAGCTGTCCAGAATAAACGTTCCCTTGATACCCCTTGTTTAGCTAACCCATCTGCTATGGTGTTGGCTGTTCTACCCACCCACTGATAATTAACATTCATGTTCCTTGAGAACCACTTAGCTTTCCTCATAATATCTCTGTAGCACCAAATCACTAAATCTAGATTTGTTAACCAACCCACAACAACTTTGGAATCTCCTTCAATAATCAAATTTTGAACTCCTAATCGATCCGCAATCTGAATGCCTTGTACTGCCGCTAGAAGCTCAGCTCTAATAGAGTCTCCTATACCCACAGAGCCTGAGAATAAGGCTTATATATTACTATCTTTATCTCTCAGCACCCCACCAATCCCTGATGGACCCGGATTTCCTTGGCTGCTACCATCAAAAGTCAGCTTTGTCCAGTCTTCTGAAGGGGGTACCACACATCTGGTACCCTGTGTTTTCTGTTACTGATACTAGCCACAGCCATCCAGTTCCTCCACATGTCATCAAAGGAATATAATTTAGAGGAATCTAATGATCTCAGCCAATGGATTGCCCTGGTCAAAATGCAATCATTTACATTCTAAACATTTCTATCATCTTCGAATATCCTCGCATTTCTTTCTTCCCAAATTGTCCACAAAGCTGCAGCTCTAATGCTCCTCCACATTGTTTTACCAATTTTTGTGGGCCACACAAAGAATGAAGGATCAAAGATCTGATCTATGGCTGTAGTCAAATTCCATCTGCAACCAAACAAAGCAAAGATCCAACCCCAAATAGCAACAGAAAAAGAACAGGTTAAAAGTGAGAGCAATCCTCACCATTAGCCCAGCAAAGTACACACCAATTAGGAGACAAACACATAGAAGGCCTTCTCTTCTGCAATAAGTCTGAAGTGTTGATTTTCCTATGGAATACCTCCCAATAGAACATAATAATTTTAGGAGGTACAGGTTTAGACCAAATCTCCTTAGCTGGGAAACCCACTTGTCCCGAGGGGGAGCAAAGGGACTTAAAGAAGGAAGCACATGTGAAGTAACCTTTTGGGTTTAGAAACCAAAATCTCACATCAGAACTTGAAGGGTCCAGAAAAACACTTTCAAGTAGTGACAAAAGGTCTGAGACACAGGAGAGTTCATGATCCCTCAAACCCCTACAAAACCCAAAGTCCCAACTCAAAGAATATAAAGGCTGGAAGACAGTCCAGTCACCCAATAGAATTCCACCCAGCAAAATTACAATTCAGCCCAAAACAATTGTTCCCTATTTGTCCCTTGCTTGGCCAAGCGATCTGCCTTTCATTTGTTGTTCTCCTTATCCAACCGAAGGTTGCCCCCACCTCCTCTGCTAAAGATTGAATTTCCCTGATTGTCTGTCTATACTCCCAAGCTCTTGGAAAATTGTTACTTATTCAAGAAATGACCACCTTGGAATCCCTTCCCCACCTCTAATAATGGGATTCTAAGCTTCTTGGCTATCCTCAGCCTGTGAATTACTGCCAAATTTTCCACTTTAATAGAATCTCCTATTGCAATGGGACCTGAATACAGATCTTTGATAGCCCCTATTGCATCTCTAAATACACCTCCAATTCCTGCCGGTCTTGGATTGCCTGGTGAGCTTCCGTCAAAATTTAGCTTTAGGCCCTGATTTATAAATGGTTCACATTCTATCACAGATTTATCTTTTGTCTTTGAAGAAGTAGACACTTTCTCCAAGATCTCACCATTTCATTGACATTAAATTCCTTGAAAGTTTCTATTGTTTTCACTTAGTTGGCAACCTTGAACATTATGCTTTCCACCACTTCACCTGCACTCTTGCATTTTTCCACCACTGCTGCCCTTGCTACCTCCAACATATTCTGCCTCTTTTTGGAGGCGGCCTCAGGAAAAGGACTAAAAACTTACAAGAAACAGAAACATTTCATCAATTAAATTTACAAGAAATATAAAATTTTGAAGAATCCCCAAAGAAAAGACAACTAACCAAGTGGAGCATAGCAATAGCTATCTCCCCCAATACAAATTTTACAATTCATCCCAAGCAAAAAACTTGATTTCTATTAACCGCTTGCTTAACTAGCATATCAGCCATTCCGTTTACCATCCTATTAACCCATTGAACCTTAATATGTAGATTCCTAGTCAACCATTTGAGCTTCTTCATCAGATTGCAGTATACACAAATAGCTTTTTCCTCATTCAGTGACCAACTTATTACCACTTTTGAATCACCTTCTATGATTAGATTATACACATCCATTTCCACAGCCTTCTGCACTCCAAATATAGCTGCCACATTTTTATCTCTTATCAAATCCCAATTACCAATTGGACCCGAAAACATTGCAACTACATTTTCCTCCTCATTTCTGAAAGCATCCCTATTGCAGGAGGCCCCGGATTTCCATCATTGCAGCCATCAAAGTTCAATTTTAAGAAGCCCCTGCTCAGTCTCATCCATGCACACACCTGCCTCCTCTTTTTTGAAGTGACCCCATTACAGCAACTCAAAATTTCATCCATCGAGAATGAGGGTGGGCCTTGGTGCAACAGTTGGGTTGCTCCATTGCGACCTGGGTGACCAGGGTTCAAATCTTGGAAACAGCCTCTCTGTATGTCCAGGGGTAAGGCTGTGTACATCTGTCCCTCCCTAGACCCCGCATTGGTGGGAGCCTCATGCACTGGGCTGCCCTTTTTTCATCCATGTAGAATGGTAAAAACAGCTCCAGAGTTTTTAGCCATTAAGTTGCCCTATAAGTGACACATTCAAAGTTTTCCTCTTTACTTCTTTCATTGTCATCAAATATTCTATCATTCCTTTTCTCCCATTAAGTCCACACCATTGTTGCCCTTCTGCATATCCACATAATTCATCCCCTTCTTTTTGGCCATCTAAAGGTTGTTAGTGATAACAAGTTAGCCACACAAGTAGGAGTATTTCACCTGCACTTGAAAATAGAAAAGAACTTTTACCAAATACTAAGAGCAAATGGGCAAGAGATTAGTAAGTGTAAACAAGACTCACCATAAGACTTACATAGTACAGACCAATCACCAATACAGAGACATATACCAATTAGGCCTCCTTGCTTGCAATAAATCACTAGTGTTGATACATTCATGAAAAACCTCCCACAGAGAACCCCAATTTTAGGAGGTATAGGATTACACCAAACCTCTCTAACTGGAAAGGATTACAGATCCTAGGAAGAGGGAACTAAGGTTTTGAAGAAAGAGGCACACGAGAAGAAACCAGAAGCATGAGGAGTCCAAATACAGCCATCTTCTTTTCCAGGCTAAAGGTAAATCCATCCAAAATACCCAACAAATTGGAGAGCAGTAAAATTTCAGAATCTCTACGGTTTCTCCTAAAACCCTGATTCCAATCAAACCCTTGAGAAGAATTTGGAATCACAATAAAATCAGCAATGGGCTTACCCTTAGAAGAAGAAAGAGAGAAAGATGAACAAAAAAGATCCTTTAGAGGCAATTCCCCAACTGACAAATTCAACATGCCACTTATTAGGGCTATCCTTAAGTTCCCAGTAATGCATTCATTTAAAATACTACCCTTTCTAGTCATACAACCAATCCATCAGAGCAATTAAAATCCTAATACGAGCTGCTCATCAACAAATGTGTACTTATTGATTCCCAACATTCTGCCCCATAAAACATGTCTGGTCATATAACTATCTCTTTTTATAGATTTAAGGAAATGTCTATTTGTTGTAAACACAAAGATCATAAAAAACTTGGATTAACTCAAAAAAACAAAAAAAAAGAAAACTACCTTAAGAAAAAAAAGGCATAAAAATTGAAAACAAATACAAAGATAAAAGTTATTGGAATTCATATAATAATTACAAGTGTTTTCAACATGGGGTTGAATTGGCTGGTTGGACCAGGCTACCCATCATCTGGCTATGATTTCGGGCCCATTTCACCCCCAAACTGTTCACCTACGAAAAAACTGTTGACTCAGCCAATGGCCTGATAACCCATCTGGTTGAATTGCTGAATCATTTAATCTTCTTCCTTAATCTTTGTCCTTTCACCTTAAAATGAGTTCACTTCATCTCCATTTCTCTTCTTTTCTCATATAAATGTGCTTGTCTTCGAGTTATCTCTATCAAAAAAAAATACATATATTTTTCAGAAACTATATCTCTAAGGTTTCTTTTTTATCATCGTAGTATTCGAAGATTTTTAAACAGAGAAAGATGACCATTGTTCCTATTTAACATGATTAACATTATGCAAAACTACAGTTTCCCGTTAAATACCATCGATACATGATTAGCGCCATCAGATTACAGCTACATTAGACGAGTGGAAACATAAATATCAATAACAAAAAAAAACGTATAAAAAGAACTCACAATCATGTAAACCGGGCCCCGATATCCACAGACCTCAGTGAAGTAAGGGAGGTCTCCCACATGATCCAGATGACTGAAAAGGTTGAGTTAAATAGATTGAATAGGGTAGATATAGAGTTAAAGACTGTGCTTGTCTGGGTGCAGGTGTTGGTCTGTTTGTTTGTTTGTATGAGATAGAGAGAGGTTTCATACAAATGAGTGATTATGATGCAGGTAAGAGCATTATCGAAATCCCCGGATTCAGAGATAAGAGAGAAATCTGGGTATCGTCGTTCATCGAGATATCCTATGTGCATCCCACAATCACACATGATACTCTTCCCGCCAATTGAGACCACGACACAGCTCTTCCCAACTTCCTGCCCGGCCCCTTAAAGTGGGGAATTTCAACTTCTTCAATCAATAGAAATAGATATCAAAGAATAAGAATCCATTGGGAAGAGAGATTGGATAGAAGAACTAACCCAGAACAAGGCATTCAATAACCATGGCTTCTCTGCAACTGATAAATCGACGGGGACCTGCTGCAACCGAAAAAACGCAGATAGTATGTGCTATGCTATCACTTGAGGGCGTGGAGGTATAATAAATACCCTTGCCCGTTCCTGCACAGAGAGTTGACAGTTGGCACCACCGAGCAATGATGGAATGGCATCAAAGCGTCCTTACTGTTTAACCGATAACCGGAGTTGTTCTTTCTCTCCTTGCATCAGTCAAGCGCCAAACCCTAGTCAGATTTCTTCGCGCGCTTTATTTGATTTTAGAAAGACTGTGGCGATGTTGCCAGTGACCGTCTGTGAAGTGTGAACCGAGTTGTCTAGCGGCAGTTTCCTCGACTGCCGGTAAAGAAAAAAAAAATTGACATTCCCCAAAGCTAGGGGTGAACAAAAAAAACCCAAAAAACTGAATCGACCGAAAAAAACCGACCGAAATCGAATCGAAAAATTGATTAACCAAATCGGTTCTGGTTCGATGTTTTCAAAAAATCGAAAGTTTTGGTTTGGTTTCGGTTAACCATTTAAAAAAAATCGACAATTAACCGAACCGATAGATATATATTTTATATAATATTATATATATATATTAATGTTTTATTTTATTTTTTAAATCTAATAAAAACGTTCACGATAGTTTGAGAGTGTTTAGACTGCCGAACTAAGAGCTGAGACTTTCAGGTTTGCTAGTCTGGCAGACTAGCATCCAGATTGGCGAACAACTTGTTTGATAGCTTGAGTCGTCTGAGTTCTGACACCCGCTACACAAGCCTTTCTTTCCCTCTCTCTCTCTTCTCTCTGAACTCTCTCTCTCGCCTATCAGTCTCTTTCTCACCTCTCAGTCTCTCTGAGCTCTCTGTCTTTCTCGCCTCTCAGTCTCTCTTTGAGCTATCTTTCTCTCTCTCTCTCTCTCTCTCTCTCTCTCTCTCTCGCCTCTCGAACTCTCTCTTTGGGTTCTGGCCTTTGGCGCTCCACCCTTCGACTAATTCACCAACGGCCTCCGACACTAGCGATCCGCGACATTGGAGGCTCAGCTGTGAGTTAGAGGCTAGTGCATCTCTACAACATTGGCGATCCCAATTACTGTGTTTTTCTTTTTTTTTTTAATTTTAAGGGCATAAAAAAACCGAAAAACTAAAACATGGTTAATCGGTCAACTGCTTAACCGGTTGTATCGGTTCGGTTTTGGTTTGGTTAAATGTAAAAACCGAACCTATCAGTTTGGTCTAGAAAATTACCCCACGGTTTGGTTAACCGAATCGTGAGCACCCCTACCCAAAACTACTGCTAGAAACTTTACTGGCTATCGGCAAAAAGCCATTTGTAGCACCTGATTTTTGCTCGGTTCATTGGCTGAACCTCCAATTCACCCCAAACTCTCGATCAGACCCTTCCGACCTCTTCGAAACATCCAAAAACCTAGAAAACCCAACTTTCAACCCCAGAACCCCCAAATCCACCATTAAACCCGTCTAATACCAATCCGATGGCCCCGATTGTCCCCCACTCACACCTCAACCATTAGAATAAACAACCACCAGACATAGAACCTCCCAAAATACCTACTCATGAAATTTTAGCCTTAGATTCCCCTGTTTACCCACTCATCAAAAAAAGAATCCATTCAACCTTTCTCGTTGGCCTAAACACTCGAAACCTAGATTCCCTTGATCTTGACACATCTAAACCGATCAAGCCACCCCATTAAACTCTGTATATATCAAAATACCTGTCCATAAAGTTTTAACCCTAGATTCCCCCATTTGTCCTTCCATCAAACCAAGATTCCATTTTGAAACATCTCATTAACACAAATTCGTACAACCTTGACCCTCCAAAGACAGATTAGACCTCAACATCGGATCCCAAATACCTACCTATGAAATCTCAACCCAAAATACCTTCGTTTACCCTTCAATTGCACCAAGATTCCATTTCAAGGTTTCAGATTGACTGAATTCCAAATTCGCTCTATGCAGGCCCAATCTAACCTCTTTCCCCCTCTTTCTCTCATTGTTTTCTCTCTCTTCCTTTCTCCCGTTCACCTTCTCCTTCCCTCTGTCGTTTTTCTGTATTCACCACCCTTAGCATGGAATCTGTTGCAACAGCCATAACTTGGGGTGACTTGTCGATCTCCCGATTGCAAGTTTCATGCGTCCTTGTTACAGAAGCTCGAAGATGTGAACAACAAACACCCCGATTCCCTTCCTCCTTGTTCAGTCGATTAACTTCAGCATTAGACACCATCAGTTGCATTCACTAGTCGCCATCGTCGATCAAGAAAGGAGGCAACCAAATTCAGTTGGATCTTCCACTTGTAATATTCGATCTCAATCTCAGGCCATATTCCAATCAATAAGGTCAATTGCTGCTTTCTCTGTGTTTAGTTCTTTATTTCTTTTTCTTGTTTTTTCTTTTGTGGAATCTACAGATGGGAAGAGAGAGACCGGGCTCATCAATGTGCTCTTGTAACTCTTTGTACCAACCCAGTTCTACTCTCATTTTTCTTAAGGATTTAGAAGTTTATCTATGGTTTTACCGATTTCTTTTTCTTTCTTTATTTTCTTTTTCTTTCTTCCTGTATCACTTCAACCAATATTCGTGATGTTAATCATCCGAATTCCTTAGTTTTCCAATGTTAATTAGCCGTTATGTTCAGTTTCTTTTATTATTGATAAAGTTACATTTCACTTCAATAAGATGTTAAATATTGGAAATCCCGGTAGACCAATTTGTTTTCCTTCATTTTTCACTAACTAGTTTGTCTTGTTTGCCTTAATTAAAATCTGGCTTATGGTAATGTGAAAGCTGAATGTAAGCTTGTTCCTACTTGGGTGATGAGATGTAGTATAGTCCTAATTACTAAAACTAATCCTTTCATTAGAATATGAATAAAAATAGGATGGTTTTTTCTTAGTTTGTTCTTGTAATTTCTTGTTGCTTTATTATTTGTATTTTGTGTTTACGCTTGCTTGAGTTCCCAAATAGGCCCCACCTATTGCTCCCGGGAGAGGGGTAACCAATCCCTTCCCTCTCTCATCCGAGTCTTATTCGAACTGATAGACCGGTGCCTTGGATTTTGGAGTTACTATTAAAATAAAGCATTTTAAAAATCACTTTCGGAGGTCCCATCATCTCCAATTTCATAAATGATGGGTGGCGACTTCATTTCTAGCCCAAGTGACAAGTGAGCCCGTTTTTCGACACTCACAGATTGGCGACTCCACTTGGGAGTTCTTGGACCATAGGTGGGGCTACATGGGGCCCGTTTAGCTTAATAGCCTTTTCTTGTATAAATGCATGCTTCTATGTTTTTCTTTTATTAGAATAATAACAACTTATTCCTTGTTGATTATTAGATAGTTTTTATTGCTTTATTTCTTTTATTCCTCATCTGCTCACTCACTACACACACCATTTGCTTTAGTTCTAGCATCCCATTTCCTACTAGGAGAGGAGTTAGTAAGTGGTTAAGACACGATGGAATTTTCTCCCCACGGTTGCACCCAAAGCCCCCAAACTAGCCACTAACCAAAGAAGCCCGTTTGTCCAACGGGTGGAGGTTTGAACGTTGGCAACCTTGTTGGAGCCTTGAGTCTAGGTGTCAAAGTCTCCCCTCATGCATCACTATCAACCTGTCAGCCTAGTCAATTAGGGTGTCAGCCACAACTGCTTTGTTTGCTTGCATGCCCCTTGTGGGGTCCACATCAAATGACAACATAAAATAAAAAATATATAAAAAAGATAACTAAAAAATAAATAAAAAAAATCAAGAGTCCAAAAAATAAAAAAGGTAAAAAACCAAAGATTAAAGAAATAAAAAAAATAAAAAATACATATACTAATAAAAAGAAAAAAGGTAAAAACAAAAAAAAATAAAAAAAGGTTGTAGTAAGGTTTAGTTAAGCACAAATATACATAAAAGAAAATTAAAAAAAACAAAAAAAAATTAAAATCCAAAAAAGTGAAATATAAAAAAGGAAAAAAAAGGGTGAAAAAAGAAAGAATAACAAAAAATAGAAAAAATTAAAAAAATCAAAAATCAAAATTCCCATTAAAAAAGAAGAAAAATCAAAATCACATATAGAGTGAAATATAATAATAAATCCAAAAAAATAAATAGAAAATTAAAGGGGGAGTTTTTTTAAATAGGAAAAAGAAAAAAAGAATAATTATATAAAAAAATGTAAAGAAAACAAAAAATAAAAAACAATAAATTTCTGAAAAATCCAAAAGTAAAGTGTCAAAAATAAAATAAAATAAAATAAAAAATATTATAAAATAACAATAGTAAATAAAAGAAATTAGAAATATATGGAAAATAAAAAATCAAATAAGAAATTCAAAAAAAATCAGCAAAAATAGAAATACAAAAAAAAAGAAGAAAAAGGAATAAAAATTGAAAAATAAAGAAAAGAAAAAGAAAAAAAAGAAGAGTTTTACAAGTTTCGGATTGTTCTATGTTGGACATAGCGTACAAAGATGACCTAATGTTGCACTTTTCCTTGCTGAAATCAAACAAGAGGTTGGAAACTTTAAGGATGTTGGTCTAGAAGGAATTCCCACAAAGATGCCATATACCTCTAAGTGGAGATTGTCTGTCGATGGTCATGGATTAGCAGAAGGAAACAATACATTGGATTCGCTTCTTAAGTACCTTCATTATTAAAATCTCGGGAGTTTGAAGATGAAGTGTCAGTAGATTGTGGAAAAACAACTTCTGTCTTATTTGCATTGCTATTTGATTTTGCACTCCAAGTTGATTTTTATTTTTGATCTGATTGATGTTGAGGTTTGAGGATGTATGCGGAAGTGTTTCATAGTAGATCAGGATGGATCTAATGGGAAGCAGCCAGTTGTAATGGATAAATCAATGAAGCAAAGGTTTGTCTTGTCTGATGAGGCAGCGTTTTGGTCCTTTCCATAGCATCTACTTGGGTAAGGGAGGTTGGACTTTGCTCCTCAGAAACTAAAATTTTCTTGAAAACTCATCTGCTGAAGAAATAAATGCTGTAGAAATTGTACAAGACAAAACCAATGTCCTTGTAGTGACTCTTGAATCAAAGCATAAAGATGCTTATGCATTGTTGGGTGATATGACAGTTAATAACTTACCAAATAACTTCCACATCTCAAATTGTCTAGTGCTGTCCCTGAAGCAATGGTGCAAGGAAAGCGGGTGCTTTTAGTGTGATGATGGAGAAAGATTTGGAGCCAAACGATTCTGGTAATTCTCTACTGACAAAGAACGGCAGAATAAATATTGTAAAATGTGATATTGAAGAGCTTCTGTAATCTGCTGAAACTGTAACAGCAGGCCTTTAGTTGATTGAATCTTCGTGCTCAGCTGGTCAAATTGTAGTGGAAACGCCACTTTCCGAAGTGCTAATGGGATCCGCTGAATTGTGTAACAGGAATGCTGAAATGCCTCTGGTGAGTGGTGATGCAGCCGACCAAGCCAATGGCTTTGGAGGGCCAAGATAAGATTGGTAACGGGATTAGTGAGGTGGAGGAGGCTGTAATCTCAAATGTTGGTGTTGTTTCTACATTCAATCCCTTTTAGTCAGTTCCTGTTTCATTCTATTGTGCATACAAGGAACCAGGAAAAGGGCTTGTTGTTGATGAATTAATAACTGGGTTAGCGCGGTTGACATTTGTACAGTTCCAAAGAACTCTAGAAAACTGTACTTGGCCAGGATAAAAGTACCAAATCAATTGATCAACCCATGACCGCTATTCCCTTAAATGCACCCATTGTATCAGCTGCAGGATTACCGTGGATTCCACCTGGAAGCCAAAGCACTTCTTGCAACTCCTATGCAGCAAACTGTTTAGCAATCTTCAGTTACAACTGCTAATCTTCCGACAACAGCTGTTCAACCTAGCATACATAGTCGCTGGACTGGTGGCCATGGGAGCATACTTAATATGTTGGGAGAAGCCAATAAAATTAATGATCCCCATTGAGATGGCAGATGCGTCTACTGTTTGAAGGGATTTTCAATTCTTGAAAGGAGGGGGGTGTTACTAAGAAGCTACCAATCTACCCAAATGGCGATGCATGAATAACTGAAGTTGGCATGCAAACGGGCAGAACAAGTAGCTGGTAAAGTATTCAGCCTGAGACTACCGTAGTCCCTCAGACTTTGATCGATATTTGTCACGGTCTCTTCAGTTAAACCATGATTTTTCTCTACCCATTGGCTCTTACACCCAGTAATTGACATCAAACCCAGTATCATTGACCCCTGTCGTTGCTGCTATTAATTCCCCCTTTGGTGTCTTCTGGATCATTAGTTGTAGCAATAACCACGAATCCAATTCGGATCAGCCCTCTTGCAGCAGCTGTTTCTACCTTACCAGTTTCGGCTTGGGCGATGCTGAAGTTGCTTTTGCCGGTGTAACTACTACCGCAACCATTAAAGTTGTATCTACTCAAGGAACCACGACTTTCCTAGTAAAGTTTTTGCTTGAGACTCAGAGGAAGTAAAGAAGAGGATGGTTGTTGTAGGCGAAGTAAATATCATTTCAGAGTGCGAGTTTTGATATGTGGCGGAAGAAACCGATAGGAATCATTGAGGACATTGATTGATCGGCTTGTTTCAGGATGTCTAAGGTCAGCCAAGAAGATTAATATAAAAGAGAAGAAAAAAACAAAAAAGTAAAAATAAAAATAAAAATGAAGAAAAATGCAAAAAAGAAAAAAGAAAAGGAGAGGGTGAATCAAATGATAAAAAAAAAAAAAGAATTAAGAAGAGAAAAAATAGGTGTGGGAAAGTAGAGGAATTTCTCTAATAGGTAACAATAATAAGTAAATGAAAAATAATAATAATAATAATAAATAAAATAATAATGATAATGTCGGAATAAGAACCATGAGTAAATATTTTCTGAAAATTCAACAAACACAAAATACAAAAAAGGAGAAAATCCAAAGAAAATGCAAAAGAGAAGAGAATCCAAAATCCAAAAGAAAAGGAAAAACCAAAATGCAAAAAAAGAAGGAAAAAATTAAATTAATGGAAGATGCTCAAGATAAGACATAGAAGAATAAGCAAAATATGAGATAATTTTGCACAATGATTTAATTGATGCCTTTATCATGTCAGAAGTCTCTCCTAAGACTGATTGTATCTTTCAAGTGGCGGTCCCACCAAACACAAGGACAACAATGCCGATTCATATCCCTTATAGTGATTACCTCCATCTTCAAGAGACATTGAATGAGATGCCTATCAAGTTGGCCAAATTGGAAGCCGAGAAATCCCAAACTGCTCAATTTGCTTCCATAATGGGAACCTAATCATCTTTCCCTCATACATCCAATGCCTTTGCATCCTCTTCATCCCAGAACTCCGATCCCATCTCAAAAACAACATATTGGTTATCTCCATTTGTTTTTACTGCCTGAACCAAGCAGGCTCTTCAGTTAAGGACATTTCCCACTCCTAACTGTAAGAATTCAACAATGCCTTAACCCAATGTTGCGTTCTTGGGAGGAAAGAATTTGAAAATGACTGTCATCCAATCTTCGCTCCAAGATCCCCTCAAGATTGAAATAGAGTAGATTCAAGATGATTTGAAGAAGTTAAAAAAGTTCAGAATTTGGGATTACAAATTTTAGAGAATTGTGCTTATACCTTGATGCGGAGTTACCTGTTAAGTTCAAAATGCCAAACCTTGAAAAATATGACGGAAAGGGATGCCCACAAATACATCTGAAGATCTTTTGTGGTGGCATGTTTCAATACGGCTCAAACGAGAAATTACTCATTCAGATGTTTTAGAAGAGCCTTACAAGGAGTTCTAAAACTTGGTTTGCAAATTTGCAGATGTAAAGAAGAGGACTTGGAAAGGTGTTTCAAAAGCATTCTTGGATCAATTTTCTTACAACATGGAGATAGCACCTGATCGAGCAGATCTCAAGTTTATGACTCAAAAGTCAATAGAAAGTTTCTTAGATTATGCATATTGGTGGCGTGAAGTGGTAGCTAGGTTATGACATCTCATGCCAAAAGAAGAGATGGTGATGTTGTTTATTAAGACGTTGAAGGATCCATATCATACCTTGTTGATTGCACAACCTTTGAAGGATTTTAGTGATGTCGTGAAAGGACCTGTTAGAATTAAAGAGGCTCTTAGGCAAGGTCGAATCAACCCGGTGATGATCCCCAGAAATTCACCAAGTCCTCTCCAAAGAATAATGAAGGGAATGAAGTGCAAGCTATATTTTCTTTTAACTCTTAGGTATATTAAGCCCATTATTCAAAAAGTTTCAAAGCGGTAGCTTATCTAAGATCTTCTCAGACCAGTTGGATTGCCTCCGAGCAGACATATTATCCCTACCCGCACAAGCACAAACATATCATCTGCCTCTAATAACCCCAGTCACTCATCAATCTCCTCAAAAAGAAAGAAGAAAACTTTCCCTTTTGCCATGTGCTCATTCTCAACTACTCCCCCTGCTTCAGTTCAAGGTGGATTTTTGCGGCTGCTTACATGGAGGCCTCCACGAGAGCCCAAACCTAGAAATTATGATGAGAATGCTCATTGTGATTATCATCAAGGACCCGATCACACCACTGACCACTGCTGACAATTGAAGTTTGCAATTCAAGATTTGATTGATGGTAACATTCTCACTGACCAGAACCTTGTGCAAATGCAACATTTTACAGAAGTCCCCCAGAACCTACTACTCGATTTAGGGCAAAAATTTAACACTTCCATCAATTTCTTAGGTGAAGGAAAGGCATTTGATCCTAACATTTTCATTACTCTTGTTGAAACTCCACCAATAGCCCATTCCTTTAGAGTCAAGTCATTAGTTAGTTGGACTTCTCAACCTCAACCAAAGCATGCTATTAATTCTCCACCAACTCTTAGAGAAGGTTGTCACTATAAGGAGAAAAATTTGATGTTGTTGCAGCATTAAGTGAGCAAAGTCACCAATTCCAATTTTGAGCCATCATCGGTAATTGAAGACCTGACCTTTGCACGAACTGTAGAATGTTCTATCAAGAGCCCACCTAAGGAAGACAACTCTGTTATAGATTCAGATGCTTCGCCAAGAGCTGTGAATAATTTGTCTGTTTTCTTGACTATTTCAAATGGCACCTCTGATACGGGAGCACCTTTGTCAGTTTAGATGTAACTTCCGAAGTAGGGAGACAATGCTCTCTACCCTACTTCTACATTCATCGAGAGCATCTTTGCATCATTATACATAGTCCCTATCCCTTTCTTTTCCTGTGTCATTCAACACACATTGAACTATGTTCGGCCTGATCCCTCTCATAGGGGTACGTAGAGCAACCCATCTTACAGGTCCGACCTCTTCATTCAATAAATTACCAGTTTCCCCAATCATTGTCTATCATTTGGTTTTCCCTAAATCACTCATTCATGATGGAACAATAAATCCCATTGAGTTTCGTTACCCTTAGGAAAAGATGAATATTCCCCCTCCTAAGAAAGTTACATAGTTGAAGCATAAAAAATCGAGGATTTGCAATGAAACTCAAAGTCAAGTCTTCATAAAATGCTTGTTGATAATCATTGACTCGCATTTGAAAACACTCGAGAAAGGGGATAGTCCATTGAATAAAAACATTGATGCCCACCCTTACCCACCTCATTGAACATTTCAAATAGCCTTGAGCATAAATCCCAGTCCTTTTTCGGGAACACCCAAATATCCTAAACTGGGGTAGTTTTGACAATTTAAATGTGTATCCTCTACCAATTTCCCCAGAGCCAGCATAAAGTAAGGATATCATCATGACCTAGTACTTCACAAATTAATAAAGGAAAGGACTGGAGGCCGCAACACATTCCTCCTAGCCGACCTGAGGTTGAAAGGCAGCTAGACCCATGGAGTTCCGGTTAGTATTTATTGAGTTGCCACCTTCCTCAAGATCGACAACAGGAGGGGCAAATGACGGCAACCTCACCTCGGCACTGGCCAAGGTACCCTCCATTGATGAGCAACGCTCGGCCCTTCACTTCTTCCTTGATGCTTTCTTCTTAGATGCTGCCAACAATGACTCCATACTCGTCATATCTAAAAAAGGGAAAGATGGGTTAGCCGAGTTAAAAAATTATTAATACCAAAAGTAGATGCAAAGGATTTGAAGGTCGACCTACCTACGCAACCCAAGCCGACCTATATAGGCATAAGCTTGGCCAAAAGGTTTTTTACTAGAACCTTCTGGTGGAAAAAATCCTAAACCACAACTCGCAACTCTCCATCGAACTCTACATTGTAATCCCAACAACCCCTTCGCCAAACAGTATCCATATTCCAACCACTACTGCAAGAAAGGAAGAAGTAGATGCTCTTCCAATCTTTAACCTTAGAGGGAAAGTCGACTAACACCTTATAGCCACCACAAAAGGGAAGGTAGAAACAGTAAGGAACACTGGGAACTTTCTTCATAGTACACAGACTGGAGAAAATATCTAAATCTAAAGGGAAGCCACGGTGGTGGCACAAGGAGATCAGCCCTTCTGGAGTCCGAACTGCATTGGGGTGAAGCTGACCTAGGGAGACACCATAGTAAGACAAAACCAAAGAAATAAAAGGGTGTAGGGGAAATTGGAGGCCGGAGATCAACGCCTCCATGAAGACACAAATAGCATCTCGGCCATGACTC